TTTCTTTTTTTTGAGATGGAGTCTGGCTCTGTCGCCCAGGCTGGAGTGCAGTGGCGCGATCTCAGCTCACTGCACACCCAGCACAGGGTCATGCTTGAGTAGGGAGTTAATTCCACTTCCTTAACGGCTGAGTGTCCACTACGATTATTTGGGATTTTTCTGCACAGGAGATTTCTGTCACCCACTTTTGTTTACCTGTGCAATCATTTACTTATGCCCGTGTGGACACCTGGATAGTTATTTCAAGTTTTGGTTGCAATTCAGTACTGCTGGATTTTGTTGCTTTATTCACTCCCATTTGTGTCACTGGGAGCTCTTTCTTGTTGGCTCTAGATTTTCTTTGTCATAATCCGTGTGTGTGTGTGCATGTGTGCATGTGTATGTATGTGTGTCTGTCTGTGGTGAGTGTGTGTGTATGTGTGTGTGTGGGGTGAGTGTGTGTGTGCATGTGTGTATGTGTATGGATGTGTGTCTGTGTGTGGTGTGTGTGTATGTGTGGGGGGTGAGTGTGTGTGTATGTGTGTGTGTGCATGTGGGGTGTGTATATGTATGTATATGTGTGTATGTGTGTGGGGTGTGTGTGTGCCACTTACGTAAGTCACTGCTCCTTTCCAGATGGAGGTACAGTGGTTTAAGAATTGTTTTTGTTTTTGTTTTGAGACGTAGTTTGCTCTGCAGCCAGGCTGGAGTGCAGGGGCACAATCTTGGCTCACTGCAACCTCCACCTCCTGGGTTCAAGTGATTCTCCTGCCTCAGCCTTCCGAGTGGCTGAGATTACAGACATGCGCCACTATGCCCGGCTAATTTTTGTATTTTTAGTAGAGATGGGATTTCACCATGTTGGTCGGGATTGTCTTGATCTTGACCTCATGATCCACCCTCCTCAGCCTCCTGAAGTGCTGGGATTGCGGGTGTGAGCCACACGCCCGGCCCTCAAGAGTTGTGAATGACCCTGCGGGAAAGAACTTTGTAAAATAAAGAGAATGCTTTATGCATTGCTCCTTTGTCTTTAGTCTACAGATTCCACTGATTTCCAAAGAGACCTTTCAGGTCAGTACGTCTTGCCCTGCAGGGATTTTGTTTTAATCTGTTGTGATACAGTTAGATTCTTGGTCACATTCTGTGTTCCATCCAGGGAGATTCCCACATACTAAATAATGAAATTCCACTTGCATACATTATGATTTACTCTTTGGGCTTTAAAATTCTATGACTTTTGACAAGTGGACAGGGGCAGGTATCCATAGTTAAAGTATCACATGGAGTACTTCAAATCCCCACCGCCATGAACCCCACGTCACCACTGATCAGTTTGCTATCTCTGTTGTTTTGCCTTTCCAGCATGTCATGTAAGTGGGGCATACAGCCTCTGCATCCTGGCTCTCTCGTCAAGCAGTGAGCCTGTGAGGTCCATCCAGGTGGCGTGGGGGATAGGTCATGCCTTTCGTTTGCTGAATAGTATTCCATTGCACTGCATACTTCGGTTTAGTTATGCATTCAGCTACTGAAGGATGTTATGATTCCTTTAATTTTTGGCTATTATGAACAGTACTTCTATACATGTGTGTGCTGGTTTTTGCTTGGACATGATTTTTCAAGGCAGCTGTCTAAATACCTAAGAGGGAGATTGTTGGATCATATGGTGAGGCTTGTTTGGTTTTTGAAAAAACTGCTGAAGTGACTGTACCCTTATACCTTCCACCAGCAATCGATGAGACCTCCTATTGCAATTGCTACTGTTCTTTAGATTTTAGCCATTTTAATAGATGTGCAGTACTATCTCATGTAATCTGCCTTCCCCTCATGACAAGTTTCTTGAGTGTTAATTAATTAATTAATTTGGATGCTTATTTGGCATCTGTGCATCTTCTCTGGTGAGGCGTCTTTTCAGATCTTCACATATTTTCAATTGGGTAGTTCATCTAATTCTTGTTGAGTTTTAGTGTTTTTAAAAAATATTTTGCAGACAAGTCCTTTTTCGGATGTGTTTCCCAAATATTTTCTTTTTTTTTTTTTTCTTGAGGCAGGGTCTCACTCCATCACTGAGCCTGCAGAGCAGTGGCATGATCTCAGCTCACTGCAACCTCCGCCTCCCAGGTTCAAGCTATTCTCCCCCCTCAGCCTCCCGAGTAGCTGGGATTACAGGCGTGCACCACCACGCCCAGCTAATTTTGTATTTTTAGTACAGACGGGGTTTCTCCATGTTGGTCAGGCTGGTCTCAAACTCCTGACCTCAGGTGATCTGCCCACCTCGGCCTCCCAAAGTGCTGGGATTACAGGCATGAGCCACCATGCCCGGCCCATGTTTTTTAGTTTTTAAAATCTCCATCCGTTCCCATCAAGGCACGGGATGGTGGCCTCGATGTCAGCTGCCGTTTCCAAAATCACGGCCTGGAGTCGTCCGAACGCCGATTTCCAGAGATTCCCCAGGACTGCCGCGAGGGGCGCCACCCTCAGTTTATAAATCCAGGAAATACTAGTTCCCTGAAACCAAAGTTCATGTTTGAGATAATTAGGAAAGAAAAATAAAATCTCAGTGCTGAAGGAAAGGCAAATGGCACAGTTGATTATTGAAATTTCAGAAGAAGGCCGGGTGCAGTGGCTCACGCCTGTAATCCCAGCACTTTGGGAGGCCGAGGTGGGTGGATCACCTGAGGTCAGGAGTTAGAGACCCGCCTAGACAAGATGGTGAAACCCTGTCACTACTAAAAATACAAAAAGTAGCTGGGTGTGGTGGCACATGTCTGTAGTCCCAGGTACTCGGGAGGCTGAGGCAGGAGAATTGCCTGACCCCGGGAGGTGGAGGTTGCATTGAGTACCACTGCACTCCAGCCTGGGGGACAGAGTGAGACTCTGTTTCAAAAGCAATTTCAGATTCATTTACTGGACAGACTATTACCTTGCTATATTCTCTAGCCCTGTGTTAGCAGTTGCAAGGTATTTTAGGTTTCAACACTTATATAGTCAATCGGTATAGTTAACTGTCCAAAAGTCCCGTCCACATCGTGGCAACCTATATAAGATTTGCAAACCTCTTCATCTATACAATGGAAAATTGGTAAAGTAAGTATAGCTATTTAAGAAGATGAATTATAAATTTTTAAGTATTGAAATGAGTGAGGGAATGTAATTATGTCACAGCTGTGATACAGAACTTGGGGCTCCCTCTGTTGCCTCCTGCTGGATGGCAAATTCTTGACCTGTGGAGACTGAAGGATAAACTGTCACCTTCATCAGAAACTCTAGTCCAGCAGGAAAGTCCTCATTTCAGAACATACCATCTCCTCCTAGGCATTTTCTTTTTCTTTTTTTTTGAGACAGAGTCTTGCTCTGTCCCCCAGGCTGGAGTGAAATGGCCTGATACTGGCTCTCTGCAACCTTTGCCTTCTGGGTTCAAGCAATTCTCCTGCCTTAGCGTCCTTGAGTAGCTGAGATTACAGGTGTGCCCTGCCATGGTGGCTAATTTTTAAATTTTTATTGTGACAGAGTTTTGCTCTTGTTGCCAAAGCTAGAGTGTAATGGTGCAATCTCAGCTCACTGCAACCTCAGCCTCATGTGTTCAATCGATTCTCCTGCCTCAGCCCCCCGAGTAGCTGTGATTACAGGCATGAGCCACCATGCCCAGCTAATTTTGGATGTTTAGTAGAGACAGTGTTTCTCCATGTTGGTCAAGCTGGTCTCAAACTTACGACCTCGGGTGATCTGCCCGCCTAGGCCTCCCAAAGTGCTGGGATTACAGGCATGAACCTCTGTGCCCAGCATTAATTTTTGTATTCTTAGTACAGACAAGCTTTTGCTATGTTGGCCAGAGTGGTCTTGAACTACTGACCTCAAGTGGTCTGTCAGCCTCAGCCTCCCAAAGTGCTGGGATTACAGGTGTGAGCCACCATATCAGGGATTTTATTTTATTTATATTTTTATTTAATTTTTGAGAAAAGGTTATGCACTGTCACCCAGGCTGGAGTGCAGTGGTACCATCTCAGTTTACTGCAGCCTCCACATTCTGGTCTCAAGCAGTCCTCTGGCCTCAGCCTCCCTAGTATCTGGGACTACAGGTGTGTGCCACCATGCTTGGCTAATTTTTGTATTCTCAGAGGAGACGGGGTTTTGCTATGTCAACCTGGTTAGGGCTAGGGTCAGGGTCAGGGTCCGGGTCAGGGTCATGGTCAGGGTTCGGGTCCGGGTTCGGATTCGGGTTAGGGTTTGGGTTAGGGTTCGGGTTCGGGTTTGGGTTCAGGTTAGGGTTCAGGTTAGGGTTGGGGTTAAGGGTTAGGGTTTGGGTTCGGGTTCGGGTTGAGGTTGGGGTTCAGGTTCGGGTTGGGGTTGAGTTTGGGTTGGGGTTGGGGTCAGGGTTCGGGTTGGGGTCAGGGTTAGGGTTAGGGTCCGGGTCAGGGTCCGGGTCAGGGTCTGGGTCAGGGTCAGGATCCGGGTCAAGGTCAGGGTCATGGTCAAGGGTCAAGGGTCAGGGTCAGGGGTCAGGGTCCGGGTCCGGGTCCGGGTTCGGGTTTGGGTTCGGGTTAGGGTTTAGGGTTAGAGTTGGGGTTAGGGTTTAGGGTCAGGGTTGGGGTTGGGGTTGGAGTTAGGATTGGGTTAGGGTTAAGTTTGGGGTTGGGGTTGGGGTTAGGGTTAGGGTTAACAAATTTCTTGACTTGTCGACCTTTGTTATTAACTGAGCGGGAATTAGGAGAGGAGCCTGGTCCTCTCCACACACCCCAGCAGGTACACCGCCCATGTGCCTGTGGAGAACAGCAGTTCCTGAAGGGCCGACAGGTGCGGACCAAGTAGCTGTGAAATTTCTTCTGAAGAAAACGCACTAGGAGGACGCGAGTGAGCTCAGTGGAGGAGGGGCGCTACCCCAGGGGACGTCCACATACATGGACTTGTGAACCCGGAATATCTGAGATGGTCTCAGTCAATTTAGAAAGTTTATTTTGCCAAGGTTGAGGATGCACGCCCGTGACACAGCCTCAGGAGGTCTTGACGACATGTGCCCAAGGTGGTTGGGACACAGCTTGGTTTTATACATGTTAGGGAGATAGGAGACATCAGTATATGTAAGATGAACGTTGGTTTCGTCGGGAAAGGCGGGACAAGTCGAAGCAGGGAGGGGGCTTCCAGGTCACAGGTAGGTGAGAGACAAACTTGTATTCTTTTGGGTTTCTGCGTAGAAAGAATATCAGATATGCACTTATCTCAGTGAGTAGAGGGGTGACTTTGAATAGAAGGGGAGGGGAGGCAGGTTTGCCCTAAGCAGTTCCCAGCTTTTTTCCCTTTAGATTAGTGATTTTTGGGCCCTCAGATTCATTTTCCTTTCACAGGCTAAGCAGCTTTAGGAACTGAAAGGTTCATGAGGCTGTAAGGAAGAGTCGAGTTTCTCCAGGTGAGCCTGGGCCACAACAGCACGCAGGACCTGGGCGCCCACGAGGAGCTCCTGGGAGGGTTCGGGAAAGGGAGCCGTGAACCCTGACTATCTGAGATGGTTTCAGGTGATTTAGAAAGTTCATTTTGCCGAGGTTGAGGATGTGCACCCGTGACAGCCTCAGGAGATCCTGACGACAAGTGCCCAAGGTGGTCAGGGCACAGCTTGGTTTAAGGGAGACATGAGACATCAGTCAGTACATGTCAGAAGTACCTTGCTTCCATCCAGAAAGGTGGGGACAACTGGAAGCAGGGAGGGGGCTTCCAAGGTCACAGGTAGGTGAGAGACAAATGTTGCGTTGTTTTGAGTTTCTGGTTAGCCTCTCCAAAGGAGGCGATCGAATGTGCACCTATCTTAGTGAGGAGATAGGTGATTTGGAGTAGAATGGGAGGCAGGTTTGCCTTGAGCCATTCCCAGCTTGACTTTTCCCTTTAGCTTAGTAATCTTGGGGCCCCAAGATTTTCTTTTCACAGAGCCTATGACTAGATTTGCATGTTTAGATCCTGCGAGGAGGCGGCTACACACATGCAGAAGTCATGCTGGTGGCCTGGACTCCGAAGGGAGAGAAGTGGATTCGAGAGACATTTAGGAGGTAGGATTGCCGGGGCCTTGGTGATAGCTTGGATGTGGAGGGCGGAGCAGGAGGGGTGTCAAGCAGATATTGCTGTTAGATTACCACCTGGGATATTAGGGAGAGTGAGTGGGCTGTTTTTTCTTTGTTAGGCAGAACTTGATTTTGTGGTGCAGTGGGGCACCTCAAACCAAAGGCCTGACTTCCTCCTACAGGCCAGACCCCACATGGCCGTTCCTGTGACTGCCAGGCCACTTTGAGGCTGAGAGAGGTGGTTTTGTCTGGCCTCTGCCCTGCACGTGTTTACGAATGACTTCTCTGTGTTGGCAGATTTGGGGGTCCACCAGATAGGATCCTGTGAAGAGACCTCAAAGGTCTTTAGTCCAATTTATAAAACATCATTTTGTTCATTACATCATTTCCACAATCAAAGATGAATAAAATATACAGAGGTTTATTTAGTGAATAAGGTTGATGGTGCACCTGTGCTAGGCAGTGTTTTAGTTCGTTGAGACACCAAGGAGTTGAGCCAATCCTTTACCTTGGAGTTTTGTGTCTGTAAGTCCTGCTGTTGAGAGCTGTGTGTGTTAAAATGTCTGATTCAGGCAGGTGAGATCTGGGCCGTCTGTAAGGTTAGGTGAGAGGAGGTTGGTGTCCAGCAAGTATCCAGTGCCCCATCAACTTCCCAGTTCTTGTCCACCAATCTTCCAGTTCTAGGACTGATGCGGAGGCCCTCAGAGCGACTTCAGAGGAGAAGTAGTGTGCTCTGTGGCTGTCTGTTTTGGAGTGTAAATTGTAAATCCTCTGCAAACAAGAAGTTGGAAACAAGTAGCGTTTCAGCTTGAGTTTCTTGTAAATGGCTTGCAGTCGTATGAACCAGAGCATGTAATACCACAGGGCAACACGAGGGTCCCTCTATCACCATTTCTCCCAGTGGCCTAGGTGGGGATTTAAACAGAATAATGTGTGCAGCCTCATTGTGTGAAAGTCCAGTACTTTGTGCTTGGAGTGTCATCAGGGAAGGGCCCCTGACTTTGAAGGCTGCTGCGTCTCGCTCTGTGATAGGAGGCACAACGTGGCCTTGGTCTTACGAAGACCTTGGGTGCCACAGCTCACTTCAGCCCTGATCAGCCTGACGCAGGCGCTGGGTCCTGGTTCTGGAGGTGAGAATACACCCTGGGCTTCCACTGCATGGCTGCCCTGTGAGCATTCAGGTGCTTGTTTGGGGACTGATACGGAGTCCTGTGCCAGATGCAGTGGTGCACACCTGGGAACCAAGCGTCCCTGCTTCTACTGGAGAATCTGGACAGATGTAAAAGGTAAGAAAGGCTGGGGGTAGGGGTTAGGGTTAAGGTTAGGCTTGGGGCTGGGGTTGGGATTGTGGTTAGGGTTAGGGTTAGGGTTGGGGTTGTGTTTAGGGTTATGATTAGGGTTTAGTGTTAGGGATTAGGGTTTTAGCGTTAGCGTTTTAGGGTTATGGTTAGGGGTTAGGGTTGGGGTTATGGTAAGGTGTTAAAGGTTAGGGTTAAGGTTTAGGGTTAGGGTTGGGGTTAAGGGTAAGGATTACAGCTTTTAGGGTTAGGGTGCTTGGCAAAATGGGTCCACCCTCTCCTGGGTAACCCTGGCTCTAGGCCCTCTTTTATGTCTTGGCCTGCCCCACCAGTCCCCTGGAGCCCTCTGCTGACCTAACCACACTGTATGTTCTTACTTATAAGTGGGACATAAGCTATGATGATGATTCCAAGGCCTAAGAATGATAAGTGGGCTTTGGGGACTTAGGGGGAAAGGTGAGAGGGAGGTGAGGGATAAAACCCTACACATTGGGTACATTGTACTCTGCTTGGGCTATGGGTGGACCAAAATCTCAGAAACCATCAATAAAGAACTTTAGCATTTAACCAAAACCACCTGTTCCCCAAAACTATTGAAATAAAATAAAATAAAATAAAATAATAGCAACAGATATCTTATTCCTTTGGTAGACCACATGGCCTAGCTCAAGAATTGAGTAAATACTTGTAAAATATAAGAATAGATGGAACAAGTGGGTAAGCACAGCTCATGCAGAGATGTCCAGCCATTTCAGAAGTGTTAAGGTTCCAAGCAGTGTTCCCTGCGCAGGCCCTGGGGTACTGCATTTTTGGGGAGGCGCTGCCATCTCAAGCCTCCTTGTTTGTGGCTCATGTTCTAACCCTCACACAGCACATGCTTGTCTTTAAAAGCATCAAGGTGAAATAAACCACATGTTAATCAAGGTAGAATAAGTGGGCAATTAGAGAACCCACATAATTTAGTTGTATAATAGTAAGCTTCTGCTGTATATTTAAAGAAAAATAGACAAGATAATCTTTTTTATAAAAAGTGCAAATTATTCAACTGTTTCTGAATACTCACTGCTAAAACTCCACACTGAAGCACTGCCCAGAATGGTGGCCCATGAAGCGTTCTCAGTCTAGGACACGTTATTCCTCTTCTGTAAAAACTGCACCACTTTCAGAAAGACTCTTAGGCAAAGACACAGAAAATTATCTCATTATTAGATTCGTGATCTGTTAGAGGTTTCCTATCGCTGAGGTCATCTGAGCCAGTAGTTTTCAAAATGAGCTGATGGCTTCATATCCTAAAATGTTGCATTTAAATTCTAGTTAAAAATAGTTTACTGTATTTTTCCATTCTAAGACAGATTTTTTTTTTATGCTTTACTTTTTCTGGAATTAGCCTGCATCTTCCAATTGATCCACTGCATTAAATATGATGAGATCTCTTCTGTTATTCTAAAAAATTATCAATAGTTTTGTGATGAATATTGATTTAACAGCATCTCAGAATTTAAAACATCCAGGTTACAATCATTAACTCTTCTACAATATTTACATACAAGAAGGTCATATTTCTTTCTTTTTATAAGTCAAATTATACCTAGCAGAAACTCACATGTGTGAAGATATGGAAGATTCCCATTCACGGAGGTTCCTCGTCATATTCTGTGCCAGACACTGGAGGCTGGGATGGTGGCACTTCATGCTCCTCACCTTCCTGTCTCACTACTTGTCCTGTGACTGCCAACTGCTGGCCCTTTACTCTGAAGGGGGTGAGAGGACCACTGCCCCTGGCACTGGGGAGGGGATGCTCCTCACAGCACGGGAAGTGCCAGGAAGGCAGCCGTCACATGCCGGAACCTTGGCCACACCAACCACATCTGGGGAATTGCATGTGACTAGGGCCTAGCCCATTAGGAATGCTTCTCTTCTGGAAATATCTCCCCGGTATCTTCATTTTGTTTTCCCATTGGCTAGTCCAGCTTAACCCTTAGATGATTCTAGATCTCCCCTGAAAATACCTAGGTGACAGTTATCCAGGCAAATTCTCTTTTCCTCCTTTAAAACCATAAAGGCCATATGCATGTGTGTGTGTGTGTGTGTGTGTGTGTTACAGAGAGGCCTAATCTGCAAAAGCACAGCTTGGCCTTCAGGAAATAGATGGGAAAAGGGAAAAGGGCTGCTTTATTATTTCCTTGTGCCTTCAAAGCACACACAAAGAAAATATCAGTTAGTACTTTCTCTAGTAATTCCATCTGTAACATTGAGCATTTAAAAGTTGTTGTAATACATTTAAATACCTTGCCCATATAAGCGCATTATAAAATGTAGCATTAAGGAAACAATTAAGTGTCCCAACTTAACCTGTCTTCTTGTAAGCCATGAAATTAATTTCTCCCACTATCTCTATGAATTTGTTTACCATTTGTGCAAATATACCACTGAATAGAGATAGTAGACAATTTTTATTTTGACAGCAATCCACTAGTAAAATTACACACAAAAAGTCTGCTATAACCTATGTGCATTGGCAGATGCAATTAAATGTGAGCCAAGGCCCATTTGTTCATGCATGTGTTTTTATGATTTTGTTCCTTTTTTGACTTATATTTATAATACAGAATGTGAGAAGAGTTAGCTCTTTGTAGTTATTTAGCTGGAAGACATAGAAAACTGTTCTAGAACCTTTAAAAAGCAGTTGCAGGAATTTTTTTAAAGTCCCTGAAATTACAAGTCAAGATATTATTTTAAATTATTATTCTTTGAAACTCCTTTTATGTATACATCAAGATTTATCAATAACATATAGACAAAGTAGGAAAGTATGGTTACCATATTTTATAATGGCACCTCATGTTGCTTATTTCTTCTATAATTAAGTCATAAATTGAGCTCACAAAAATGTTTGTATTAATAAAATGATTATCATTGGTAATGTTGGAGTTTTTCTTGTACATTTTTATGTAACAACAAAAAAAGTTTTTACTATTAAAAATGGTTTAAAAAAAATTGGAGCAAGCCTAACCTTCATTTTATAAATACAATAACCTGAGGCTCATCAGGGCTGGTGACTCTCACAGGCGCACACCCGGCATTGCTGGATATCGGCTCAGGATCCAGAATGAATTTGAACAATTCATGCTAAATTAATAAATGCACTTTAAAATAGGCCCATATTAATCTCAAAGTAACTAAACCTGTGGAATTTGTAAAAGAAGATGTTTATGAATGAGGACATGGCCTTTCGACATTAGTTCTGATTCTCCCCTTTCTAAAAGAATCTACAGTCTCTATTTTCCCATTATGAGATTTCAGAGGAGAGCCTGGTGGCACTTACAGCAGACATCACAGATGTCTGAGTGTTTCGGTTGAGGACGGTAAAGGCTTTGTTTGTTTCATAAAACCTTTGTTTTCCAGGGAAGAAAACACAGGTTGAGTCTAAAGTCAATCCTCCCCCTGAAATATTTTAATGACGCTGAAAAAGGTTGTTGTGTTTCGCAGGTGCAAGCGGAGCTGTGCAGTCCTGACTTCTGAGTGGAGCTAGAGGAGAATGATGTTAACGTGTTTGCACTCCTTGCTCAATTTTTAAATATAAATATACGTAAGCACTGCTTTTTAATGAGAATAAAATAGTTTAACAATGTTTACGCACCTATTTTAGTTATTACATTCTCTAAGCTATTTTTATCCTCACAACCATGGAAGCACTCCACCGTCTCCGTTTCAGAAAGCAGACAGTAACTGAACAAAACTGTCCACTTTTAAAAAACATGATTTATTTCATTATGAAAGTTCATAGTTGATGTAATTAATACCTTTTTGTGGTCTTAATTCAATGGGTGTGGGCATCTGCACGCTGTCATGGGTCCACCGTTGTGGTGAAATCGCACACAGTGGTCTCACTGCCCTAAGCAGCCAGGGCTCTCTGCCTATCCATCCTTTCCTCTCCCCAACCCCTGTCAACCATTGATTGTTTTACTATCTTTGTAATTTTCCCTTTTCCAAAATGTCATGTAATTGGAATCATACAGTATGTAGCCTTTTTGGCTTCTTTCACTTAGTGGTATGCATTTTGGGTCCCTGTGTGCCTTTTCGTGATTAGATAGCTCATTTATTTTCTCACTGAATGATATTCCATTGTCTGTAGGTACCAGAATTTATTTATCCATTCACCTACTGAAGGACATGTTGGTTGCCTCCAGTTTCTGGTAATCCCGAGTAAAGCTCTGAACATTTGTGTGCAAGTTTCTGTGTCGACATAACTCTTGAAGGAATGACAAGGAAAGGTGTATTTGCCTGATCCCAGGAATCCATATAAACATCCATGATAACCCCACCTTTTTTTTTTTGAATGTATGATTTGGATGAAACAAGAGAAAGAGACTGACTGTTGCTGAGTCCCTGCTGCAGTCCTGACACAGCTGGAGACACCCTGCTCTCCTGCTCTCCTTATTTTGTTGATGCTTATGAGGACCATGTTGTATGAGGAAGACGGTTCCCATCCAACTCTGCTCCTGGTGTGTCACGTGCCGGCCTTGTCAACACACACGAGAACCTGACAGGGTGAGTGTTATAACCCCATCTGTAGAAAAGGAAACGTCTCTAAAATCTTTAGCATCTTGCCCGAGTTCGGACACTTAGCAGAGGCCTGAGTTTAGATGCAGCCCCGTCTTGCTCTTTGACAGCCTCAACACCACATGCCTTGGGTGACCTACGCAGTGAGTCACTGACAGCCCTCGTGGTTGGCCTGTGGCACAGCACGGAGTGAAATGGCCCACTGACCTTTTCAGACATCCAGGCAATTTGTGATAGAGCATATGCGGTCACTCCCAGTTAGTTCTGTTGTTCAATTTAATAGAATACCTAATTCTATGTTTATTATGAATAAAGGGCGATTTCTTGTGGGTTTTTTTTTTTTTTTTTGAGACGGAGTCTTGCTCTGTTGCCCAGGCTGGAGTGCAGTGGCGCAATCTCGCTTACGGCAAGCTCCACCTCCCGGGTTCACGCCATTCTCCTGCCTCAGCCTCCTGAGCAGGTGGGAATACAGGCGCCTGCCACCATGCCCGGCTTTTTTGTATTTTTAGTAGAGATGGGTTTCACCATGTTAGCCAAGATGGTCTCGATCTCCTGACATCATGATCTGCCCACCTTGGCCTCCCAAAGTGCTGGGATTACAGGCGTGAGCCACTGAGCCCGGCCTCTTGTGGTTTTTAAGAATATGAAGCATATCTATTTTGCCTACAAGTTGGAAGTTCCAATACTACAGGAAGCATAAGAGCAGGTTATAATGATGGGTCTTTTATAAGACTGAATTCACATCAAACTGAATCAGTAACTCCAGCCGTATGAACAGGGTGAGACATTAAACATTTAATGAAAAGAATTCCTTTCTTAGGTCACAGCAAGGATTAGATATATCTAATTATGCCCAGCAAGATGCATTGTGATATTTACAGTTAATCACTCATTTAATTCAAAGGGTATTTATTAATTGTCTGCTCTGGGCATAACATCAATTGAAAGCAACGTGTTCACATGGAAAAAAAAACTTACCTGAGGTGGCTGGGCACAGTGGCTCATGCCTGTAATCCCAGCACTTTGGGAGGCTGAGGCGGGTGGATCACCTGAGATCGGGA